CTCCACTTTACATCACATTAGGCCAAGAAATAAGTGCATATTTATGCACTTCTTTCAAGCAGCATACGTGAAGGAAGTCCTCACTGTCACGTTTTGCCGGTATTCCAGCATGTAGCTGTTCCCTCTTAATCTCCATCCTGAGCCTGTAGTTCACCACAGGACCACCTGCAGTTCTTCCACCTCTTGTTCCTTACTCTTCCCAGAGGATTTCATCCATTCTCCTGGTTTTGACTGCCACCTACACACTGAAGACAACCAAATTTTAATTTCCAGCCCAGATCCTTCTCTTCTGGGATCCAGACCTGAAATTCCAACTGCCTCCTGGATATCCCTGTTTGGATGTCCCACGGGTAACTTCGGTTTTACACGTCCTAAATCAAATTTGGCATTTTCTTCCTCCCCGCTCAAACTTACTACCTCTCTGGAGCCCCTTTCTTGGGCAAAAATGTCTCATTTTTGCCCTGTTTCCTCCAGTGAATCAAGCCCAAAACTCAGCAGCCCTGCTCCACACCTCCCTCTTCTTCATGCCCACATCCAATCAATTACCAAATCCTCCTGGTTCTTGGGGTCTCTATTCCAGCCTTTCCATTCCTGCCACTGTCAAATTTGCTGCCTCTGCGGCTACAAGACTTCTCACTGGTGTTAGACACCAGGCTCTCTGATCCAGCATCCAAACTGGGCCAGAAAGAATTTTCTATACTATTGTCACGCGAGTGTATGCTCCTCGGTTCTTTGTCTCGTCACAACAAAAATTTGGAGTGATGGACATTAAAGCCCCCTGGCGGGTCACAGCTCTCGGAGGACAGACCATGTTATAGCTCTCAGGTCTTGAACGGACCGTGTTATAGCTCTTCAATAAATCAGTGTTACAGCTCTATTTATTTAGATAATAGCAGGAAAATCCATCTTCGAGGCATGAGGGCATGTCGATCCAAAGACATGGAGAGAAGATCGCCTCACCGCGCGGGGGAGAGAGAGAAAAAGGGGAGAAGAGAGGGTTGGCTCCTCTTTTTATATGTTTCTCTGTCCCTGGGCCTGTCTTATGTAAATTGGGCTTAGGCAGGAGCGTTGTTTGTTTTACCTGAGGTTCTCACTCCGGTCCTCGGACCTTCCTTTGTTCTATTTTCGCGGGCTTTCCCTTCCAGGTCTTTTAGCAACCGCCATTTTGGACTCTTTTTCCCTTTTCTAACTACCTAACACTATCATTGCTAAAACCTGTCAGTAGGGCCCCACTGTCCTCAATATAAAAGTTCCACATCTACATTCCTTAGCAGGGTACACAACGGCCCTTGATGTTTGGGGCTGCTTCCCTTAATATCCCGAACGCCTCATCCTAGCTCTCAAATTTGTGAGCGGACAATTCAGAGCATCCTGAATCCCCACCGCTCTCTCTACTCCCCACCTCCACTCCTCTCCTCCAACATAGAAGCCAACCAGAAGAGCTTTCCCTCACCCCTTCCTTCCTCACCTACCTAGGACACAGTGCACACCCTCTACTTAGCATTCATCACACTACAGTCCTGGCTGGCTGGCTTATTTATTTCCTTCTTTCACTGTACTAGAAGCTCCTGCAACACAGGAGCTGTGTCTTTTTTTACGGTTGTTCCTCAGTGTTCAGCTAGTGCCTGGCATATGGTGGGGCAATGAATGAATGGTGACTGTAAGGAGCAAAGAGAAGACGGCTGGTGGGGACAATGTGTTTTAATATCCATAAAACTGAATTGAGGGATCTTTACATGTCAGCCACCTGCCCCACACCTTCCTTCACAGGTCCAACTGAAGGAGAAATCAGCACCATTGGCAGGAGGGTGACCAGCATTTAACTGAAGGACTGCTTACTACGGCTCAGGACTTTCTTTTACTCATGCCTAAGATGACAGTTTTCCATGCCTGCTGCTGTAATGATGCAAGTTAAGGGAAAGGATTAGAAGGGTCCATATTTCCGCCTAGGCAGTTGTCCACATTCTGCCTATAACCTCAGTGAATCTTCACAGACAACCTACTATTTCCTCCATTAAAGAACCATGACTGCCTAAAGTGTTTGCACTGGACCACAAAGATGATTATGACATGGCCACCATCTTGAAGGAGCTTTTATTTACATATACTTGGGGCTTCCCTGCTGGCTCAGACGGTAAAGAATCTGCCTGCAATGCGGGAGACCTGGGTTCAGTTCCTGGGTCAGGAAGGTCCCCTGGAGAAGGGAATGGCTACCCACTCCAGCATTCCTGCCTGGAGAATTCCAAGGACAGAGGAGCCTGGCAGGCTACAGTCCATGGGGTCACAAACAGTTGGACACAACTGAGTGACTAACACACACACACACAGTCTACTTGTCTTTATCCTCCCATCCAAGCCTTTGGAGAGCAGGGACATGGCCTGTCTTATTCATTGCTGTTGTCCCAGTGAATACAACATATAGTAGGTGCTCAACAAATATCCGTTGAATGCAGTGGATAAACAAACAATACAATGCTTATTGAATGAGGATGTGACCACAGGCAAAGGTATATCTGGGTGGGAGAGAAGAGTGGTAAGGTGGGGAAAGTTGGGGGATGGAATAGCCTTTTATCTCCTAAGCAATAGGAGCAAAGGATCATTTGTTAAATAGTATCATGATTGGATCATGACTTTTGAAAAATCCACTCTAGTTTCAGTGTGGAGAGTTTGCCACTGGGGTGCCAGCGGGGCTGGGGTGGGGGTTGTGTGAGGGGAGTGCAGGTTGTTTAAACCAAGCAAGCACTGAAGACAAACTGACACAGTGATATTTGAGGGGTACAAGCGGAAAGTGAGGGATGCGAGACATTTCTGAGGCAAAACTGCTCAGAACTGGGAACCAACTGAGGAAGACAGTGAAGGCTGGATGGGAGATGAGAAGCCCATACGGGAAGGAGCAAAACAAGGTTCCTTTCAGCCTGAGGTGCCTGGGCAACATCTTTCTCTGAATCTCTAGGAATGGTGCCACCACCACACTGCTCCTCCTACCCCTTTTCTTTCCTGTTTTGAATCACTCCCACAAGCCAGAAATGCTCCCTGCTCCTCAGCGTGCAGGAGAACCACGCCAGCAGGCCCCACTTTCCTGAGGAAGGGACCGAGGAACCTGGAGGGCCGGCTGTGGCCTCCCCGGGGGGAGCTCCCTGACAGGAAGGCAGGCTGGGAACAGACAGGAGCTTCCTCTGCTGCAGCAGGTGCCCAGGGCCAGCTGCTCCAATATCCCCCAGGCTCACATCAACAGGATGGGACAGCCCAGGCGGAAGGAAGCCCGCAGGGAGGGACACCCGCCGCTGCAGACAGAAGCCGGGGCAGGGGATGAAGGGGAGACAGGAAGAGCTGCCTGAGCTGCTGAGCTGGCGCCCCTCCAGCAGATTCAGGAGAGGCAGTGACAGGCGGCCATTCAGTCCTCCTTCCCTCTCTCAGTGCGCGTCTCTAGCCCTGGTTGATCCTATTATTATTACTACTACTGTTGTTGGCTAGCCTGGGCCTGTTTCTAAAATATTTAATTCATTGATTTTCCTTTTTTTTTTCTTTCTGGCCATGCCCGGAGGCTTGTGGGATCTCAGTTCCCCAACCAGGGGTTGAACCCAGGCTATGGCAGTGAAAGTACCCAGTCCAAACCACTGAACCGCCAAGGGATTCCCTAGCTTATTCCTTTTCTATACTCATTTTGAGATTATTGGGAAAGAAAAGACACTTACATCATCAGCCTTTCAGTTACACGGAGAAGTGAGGCAGCTGGAGGGAAGGGCAGTGATTTCTGCCCCCTGTTAGCCAGTCCCAAGGAGCGGCTTTAAGTTTGCTTTAAGCTGAGCTATCACCTCCTCTCCAACAATAGCTGTGTGTACAGGGCACCAAATGGCTAAAAGGGAGCCGGCAAGGAGCCAGAGCAGAACCGTAGGCTTGCAATCCGGAGGCCCCAGACCGCCTCTGACCTGGTTCGGGATGGGGCTTGCGGAGGTGTGTCTGGGGCTTTCGCGGGACCGACAGCAAGGGGTTTCGTGACTTCTATTTGGCGAGCATTCCCCCCGCAACCCACTCCCAGGCGTGCCCAGGCTGGCGCCTCGTGACCCTAGAAGACCCCGCCCCTCCCCACCCCCACCAGCAGTTTCCCAGCAGGGCGTTTCCGGAGGCCGTGGCCCAGGGTAGGTGTGGGGGTAGGGTCTACCTTTGAAACAGCTTGTAGACTGTAATTTAAACTTTACACCGAGCTCAAAACTAGGTTCTGCAACTGAGTCGGCTCCAGAGAAAGATTTTTTTAAAAAAACTCCGGTCTATGGCTCCCCATCACCCCCACTGGTCTAGTTTTCGGGGCTTCCTGCAGTCCCCACACCATTCTCTCCACAGCCCTGGAGGAAGGATGGGCGGGGCGGACGGGGGCGGGCAACGCCGCCGGCAGTGCAGATGGAGAGGGCGAGCCAGCGCCTGTGGCCCGGGCGTGGGCGGGGGGCCGCAGGAGCAGGTGTCCGCTCGGTGGCAGGATTCCCTTCCCCTCGCCTCCCTTCCCTGGTGCTACCCACGGTTCAGCGAGGCAAAAACCCAGCAAATGCTCCAGAAATGCAGCTCGGTCGGTCACCAGGCTCTCCCTTCTCGCCAGACGCGCAAGAGGACGGGGCGCTTCCAAATGCAAATCTCTTGGCTCTGGACCCTTGGCTTGCAGCCGCCGCCTCCCCCGCCTGGCCACCCGGCGTCCCGCCCACCCCGCGGCGGCGAAGCCCGAGATGGGACCTCGCCCGCGGATGGGGAATGGGCGGAGCGGGCATCCCTCCCCATCTCCCACGTGGGCCCGGCTCTCCGCAGAGAGTCTGGGCGCGCCACGGCGGCCGCGCCTCCGGGCTGGGCCCCGGTTCCTGGCGCCGCCCCCACCCCCGGGCCAGGGAAGGGGACTGCAGGCCGGGGAGGCGGGTGGGGGTGGGTGAGGGGTACGGGCCCTGTCCACAGAGTCAGGTGGTGGAGGGAGTTCCCTCGGGCTGGGCCCGGGGAAACGCGCTGCCGGGGGATTGTGTACACGCTCCACTGACACAAGCTTCACGCTGCCGGGCAGCCGCTGATCACGCGTGGCCCCGCGAGCCCATTGGCCGGCGCCTCACACACCTTTGTCGCTGATTGGCCGGCCTCAGGCTCCGCCCCCACCCCCGCCCGCGGCTCGGGGCAGGCGGAGCGGCTACCTGAATGGGGAGGGGGGCAGACGGCGCGGAGCGCGGCGGCGGCGGGAGCGGCGTCGAGTGTCTCTGGGCGCTCGTCTGTGGCCAGGCAGCCAAGGACAGCCTTGCAGCCAGTCAGCTCGTCGCCGGCGGCCGGGCAGCCAACCATGCTCAACTTCGGCGGCGCTTCTCTCCAGCAGGCTACGGTAAGTCACCTGGGGATGCCCCAAACCCTTCTCTTGCCTCGCTGCGTCCGGGGAGACCCCCGAGCCCCTGACATCAGCCTCGCCTGAGGACGGAGGTTGCAGGGGAGTCGTGAAAGAGGAAGAGGGGCTTCCCGCCTGCAGACTGGGCATTGGTGAGGGCGTGTGTGTAGCGGAGGGGGTGGTCTGGACAAGCAGGCTGGGAGGTAGAGACGAAGTGAGAGAGGGTCTCGCTCGAGGTGTAAGGAGGGGAAGGGGGCAGCTCCGCTGGGAGACTGGAAGCAGGTGAGGGGGGGAGATGGCCGGAGGGGCGGGAAGAGTGAGGAGACGGGGTCTGGCTGCCCTGTCAGCGAGAATAGGAGGCGTGGAAGTACAGGAGGGGGGGGGGGGGGGACG